TACTTCGAAGAAATTTAAATTTTTTTGAAATAAAAATTTCTGGAGTTTTTTTATTTTAAAAAATTCTATATTAAAAACCTTTAAAGATTTTTGAAGATTTCTCCGGAAATTTTTGAAAATTTTTTTTTAAGTGGAGATCTCCAGAGATCTTCACCAAAAAAATTTCCTAACGATCAACGATCAAGAATAGCGTGGCAATTTCCTGGAAAAAGAAAAATACTTCATTCGGTAAAGCATCCATTAAAGGTTCATGTTTGGGAATACTTTTCGACTTTCAGGCTTGGTAAGCTTGTTTATTTTCAATAGAACTTAAATGCAGAATTAATGATTGAGGTGTATAAAATAGGTCTTATATCTTCTGCGAATAAACTTTTTGGTGATGGTTCTATAGAATGGGTGCTTCAAGAGGACAATAATCCTAAACACTATTCGAAAATCGTTAAATGTTGAAAGGAAGAAAATAATATCTAAGTTCTCTTCTGGCCAGCAATGTCACCTGACCAAAACCCAATAAAAAATGTTTGGGCAGTTATGAAAATAAATGTTGCAAAAAAAAAAATAAGATCCTTAAAGGGGTTAGTAAGGGAACTAGGGAATGAATGGAATTGTCTCTCAAATGATATGGCAGCAAAATTAGTTGATAGCATGAAAAATCGTGTTATTTGTTTAATAGAAGCTGAGGGTGACTATACTGTATACTAGTATCAGTATAGATCAAGTATGTCTAAATAAAAAAAATTTTTTTAATTTATCTTACTTTTGTGTGGAGTTAGGGTGGGGAGATACTTATGCTGGTAACTGTATATAGTAATAATTTAAAAATCCATTTTCTTGTAGTGAGATAGTAAATAATTAAATTATATAGATAATATAATCTTTTTATATTAAAGATTTAAAAATTATATACAGAATCTATAAACTTATTAACAGATGTTTTGATACTTAGAAAAAGATTTAATTTTAATATAATAATCTTATTGTATTATTGTTTTTAGATAAAAGATTAATAAATAGGTATATTGGTATATAAATCAATTAGAAGTAAAATAATAATAATAATTTATTAAAGGATTTTTGATTAATAAATAGTAGATTTATTCTTATAATTATATTAAAAAAATTTTGAATAAGTTGAAAAATTGTATAATATAGATTTTTTTAACTAATTTTAATATAAAAAAAAAAAGTACTTATTACTTTTCAGTAAGCTTTGCTTGTGGTCACTATTCCTATTTTAGCTTTTAGCATAGCAATTTAATAAATAGTTCACTATTAAATCATCATATAACGAATTCAATGTTTTTTTTTCACCAAGACTTGTATAAAAGCTCACCGACAACGATTTTTAGCAATATTTTTTAATGCATAATTTTTATAGTGCTCTAAAAAAAAAAAAAGCTCCAATATTTATCTATTATAAAGATTCTTGAATTTTACATTATTGATCATACGTTTTCTACTGACAAGAATTACAGGTAATTTTGGTAGAACCCTTTGAACGACTTGTGAATTTACCATCACCGAAAAAAAAAACTTCGTAACATTTTCATTTAACGCCCATGTTTTCATCTGTTACAAGAATCTCTCCCGTATTGCAAGTAATTTTTTCTTGTAATACAGTATTTTTAACAAATCCGACTCAACGAATGACTTGATTTTGTTTTTTTTAAAGATATCACCAAAAAAAAAAAAAAAAAAGAGAATCAGGAAAAATTGTTCGTAATTGATAAAGAATCCCGTCCCTGTAAAATTTCATTTTTGCAAATAGAACTCAACAGAATGTTCGACATAAACCATTTGTTTACTGCGTTGTTGTCTGATCCGAAACTGGCATTACTTCTAATGGATAAGTAAAATGGATAAGTAATGTAAGATCAATAATAAATTTATTATTAATGGAGAAAGAAAAAAAGTAAGTTACCCATCGGAGCGGTTTCATAATGCTGCTCCATCATCATGGGCCGTTGACTCATCATCACACCAGCTGGGGGAACGTGGGGGACTATTTCATGTGGGTAACGCATCATAGGTGGTAACCCTATTAATAACAATTAATTAAAGCTTGTGATTATGAAGTTATGGACGTAAATTAAATGGAACGAATAAAATGTGCAAACCAACCATGCGGACTTTGATATGGTGGATACATCTGAGGGTGTATACCAGTAGGAACTATTGGCGTACGACCTGGTGAAGGGAATCCTTGAGAACCAAAATGTTCTACAGAATAGACATCGCAAATTGTAATTCCAAGAGAATAACGTTGTTCAGAAGAGAAATCAATGTCTTACGTGGAATCACCGGTGGAATCTGCGGGCTATATATTGTAGCTATTTTATTATTAATAAACAAATATGTTAGCAAAAAGTAAATGTAAAAATCAATTGAAACTATAAACATTTATTACGCGGAGCTCCGTTTGGTGGCATGGGTGCAGTGGTGAAAGGCATGCCAGGCACAAACTTTAAAAGTAAGGTCATTAGATATAATTTCTAAGAGGTACGACAGATAAAAAAAAAAAGACAACACTTTACCCCAGGCATATACTGCACAGGTGTCGTTTGTTGCATTGGCATAGGCGGAACGCCAACAAACTGCGTTCCAGCCGTGAAACGATAATGTGGAACGGGATATGCTGTGAATCCGAACCCTTGATTTACAGAAGCCTGTGTATAAATGTCTTCTTCGTAATTAGTGGTAACAGTAAAATGATGCCTAAAGGGTTTTTGACCGAAAGGCCATGTTGGTGCTTCATTTAAGTTGACAAAAGGAAAACTTATTTATTATATATATTTTTTAATAAGGTAATTAAAAGTAAATATTTATATTAAAATTAACTTACGAATTGAATTTGGATTTTCCAGAGATTTTCCTTTCTTAAAAGGACAGAATCCGTCTTTTAGCGATGCAGTATTTTTCCTCAATTGACGGTTGCCAAAGAAAGGAGACTATATAGTATATTCATTAAAATTGATTAGATGCTAAAAGAAATATAATAAAATAAGGAAATAGAAGAGTACTCACAGAGCCCGGAGATCTTTTGTCTCCAGCGGTATTTGGAGTCTACATGATTTGAAAAACAAGAATAAGGTATATGGAATCGCATATTCCGAATCAACCAAAATAATAGCAACAAGCCTAACGATTTATGATATGCGACGCCGTACCGGAGTGAAACTCGCCGCGTTAGGATTAGGCTTCCATTCAGATGCTTTCGCATTCAACTTGAATTGTGTGTTTGTCGGTGTTGTTGCAAGAGTTCTAGAAGGAGAAAGTTGTGGAGGCGCTTTGTCGGCAGCAGAAGTTGGTTTGTCTGAAGCGACCTTTTCGGGAACAGACTTTGATTCCCCGTTAGATTGTGATTTATCCTCTTCAATCTTAATGACTGGCTTTGAAAGTTCTGTTTTTACATCAGAAGTTGGAGTCGAGGAAGTTTTTTCTTTTGGCCTATCATCACTTTTTTCCTTTCCCTTTTCAGATTCTTGTTTCTCTTTCTCTTTTTCTTTTAGTTTCTCCTTTTCTTTATCATTTTCTTTTTCGGACATTGCTGCTTCTGATTTTGCTGCCAGTTGTTGACGTTTTGTTTCGTCTTTGGTAAGGATTGGGATAAGATCTTTTGGTAGTGGTGAATTTAACTGAGAAGTATTTTATTCATGAGCAACGCTACTATTTACATAAACACATGTCTTATGATAAGTCATAATTAACCACCTTAAAGTTTTGCCCCCATTTAAGCAACTCAGCCACTCTACCATCCATCTCTTTTTTGAATATAGCCTGTTTCCTTTGTTGGAGACGTTCTTTTTCATGATTAGCAAACTTTCGAAAAGTCTTCACAATCACAGCTAACAATTTGAGATGATGAGTAAAAAAACTGTATAGAATAGATTCAAAAAATTTGTCTAAAATAGCTAGATATTATATAAAAATATTTTCGAAATGTACCTTCAATAGGTCTACCGTCTGCGTCCGTATCGGGTTTCTGGGATTTGGTTCGAAGATATCAGATGGGTTCAACTACGGACCA